GTGATATGTCGTGAAATTTTTTTAAATGAATGTAGATGGATGATAATGACAGCTAGCTTTTTTCATGCTCTGATCACATGCACTTGTTTATTTTCACCATTCTTGTCACGTGCAACTTATTTCCTGACCGGATTTAGCTAGTGTGATGTGGTCATCTTTCAACCAATGAGAGTGTTCRTTATATTGCAAAATTTGGTAGCTATATAACAGACTAGCGTCTCAGTAAATATTCGACGATATTCACTTTGCCTTTGGCAAATAATTGTCTTTGTATAAAAACACAGGTGATTCTTTCAAAAAAAGGAAAAAATGAAGATAAAAGACACATTTTTTTGGACATTTGGATTATCGCTGGAGGTGATTATCATGTGATAGTGTGAGTTTCTCAACCAATCAGCACACAAGATTTTCAATAATCACCTGTGTATTTTTACTAATCCTCAATATTCCCTGAGGATGAGGTGAATAATCATTTTAGTATTTTTAACACAATAATGGAGAGAGCTTTTCTTTCATTTATTCATCTATGCAAGCAGCACAAATCGACAAACGAGATGCGAATAAATGCCTCATAATCATCTGTAGGTGAATTTGCTGCATAAGATGTAAATGCATCCTTTGTGGCTAACATGGAAATACAAAAGAAATGCCACTAAATCCATCAAGAAAAAGTGGGATTTCTTCATGTTAGTCTCACATCCACAATACTTCTAAGAAGGGTTCATTGTGACCAATGAGCCAGCCAGATTTATTATATTCACTCGTGTAAAAATACCATAATGTAATAAATATAAACTAAAACATCTCACAAAACAATTGTATCATGCAATAAACATTAACAGGTGATATTTTTCAATACTATGTAAAATTTGAGGTCCCCCTCATTCTCTGAAAAAAGTATTAGATCTGCCACCATTGAACTCAAAAATCTATTTAAGACCTTCCTATATTTTCTAGAGCAATTCCAGGTTTTTGGCTCAATAAATAACATATTTTACTCAAAAATAGAGAAAATGAATCTCAATTAATTTATCAACAAAAAGATTGAATGTGAAAGATATTAAGTATTTATTATTGGTATCAATACTGGAAAACATATGCAGTAATAGTTGACCACTGCCGCTGCCTTAATCAAAGTGATATTCAAATTATTTTCATAATCATCCATCTATTATCAAATATTTAGAACTTTTGAAACAAAAGGGAAGATGTTCCAGATGAGCGCCATCAGCCAAAATGCTAATGAAACACAATT